GCGGGGGGTGGGGGAGGCCGCCCAGCGCCGAAGCGGGGGCCCCGGCCGAGGGCGCGGCGGGGCTGCGCGCACGCTGGGGCGCGTGGAGGGGCGCGGAGGGCGATATGAGTCTGGTGGGGGGCTTCCCCCACCACCCGGTGGTGCACCATGAGGGCTATCCGTTCGCCGCCGCCGCCGCCGCCGCCGCTGCCGCCGCCGCCAGCCGCTGCAGCCACGAGGAGAACCCCTACTTCCATGGCTGGCTCATCGGCCACCCCGAGATGTCGCCCCCCGACTATAGCATGGCCCTGTCCTACAGCCCCGAGTACGCCAGCGGCGCCGCCGGCCTGGACCACTCCCATTACGGGGGGGTGCCGCCGGGCGCCGGGCCCCCGGGCCTAGGGGGGCCGCGCCCGGTGAAGCGCCGGGGCACTGCTAACCGCAAGGAGCGGCGCAGGACTCAGAGCATCAACAGCGCCTTCGCCGAACTGCGCGAGTGTATCCCCAACGTGCCCGCCGACACCAAACTCTCCAAGATCAAGACGCTGCGCCTGGCCACCAGCTACATCGCCTACCTCATGGACCTGCTGGCCAAGGACGACCAGAATGGCGAGGCGGAGGCCTTCAAGGCGGAGATCAAGAAGACAGATGTGAAAGAAGAGAAGAGAAAGAAGGAGCTGGTCAGTACCAGGGGGCAGGGGGCAGAGGGGGTGCGGGGTTCGGGGGAGCGGTACCACCGGCCTCCTTCCAGTTGGGCTGAGCAATGACATCCCCCCTCCTTTGCCAGCACCCTAAGCCAAAGTTGTTAAAACCAGGTTATGGAAAGAAGCTGAGGAGATGGGGGAGGACGGCAGCAGGAGGAGGAGGTTAAGGGGGATGCTCCGCGCTGGTGATCTTCCCTCCGGGTTACCGCTGTTCCCACAGGCACTTCGGGCGTGCCTTTCGGACTCAGGGTCCCCCCCCCCCCCCGATCTTTCGATTGCACTGGCCCAGTCATTCCATGTCTTTTAGAGCCTTCATTTGGCCTCCAATCCGATCTTGCTTTCAGGTATTTCTAAAATAAGTCGCCTGCAAGCGCTAGGTTCCAATTATTCCACTATCGGCCCCTTATCCCTCCCTGGAGAACTAGGCCACCGCTGATCGTAAGAGAGTTTTAAGGCTGTTCTCATCGCAGTGCTCAGAAGACATAGAGGTAAACGTAAATAATAAGTACTCTTAACTTCAAAATGCAGCTCCGGTTTCTCTTTGGCGATGAGGTTGTACTGAAACTTCCCAGATGAGTGCACTTCGTGGGTCTTTCTTGTTTTATTCCCCTGAGCATTTTAAGACAAACAGTAAATACTAATATGGTCGCTGTCATTGTTGTTATCAGGAACACAGAACTATAACTGAAAAGCAGTTTTCTCCAGTTCCGACCAAGTGCCCACAGGTTGGTGATGTTCAGAGCAGGGCTAGTGCCATGGAGGACCTGGGAAATAATCCCATTTGTCTAGTTTTTCTTCTTTGGGGCCTGTGGCGCTTTAGTCTGTGCATAATCGAGTGACCTCTGGAATAAACTGGGGATTTCAGAGGCCTTGGAGGAGAGGCGCTGCCGAGTTGGTGGCCCAGAGCCCCTTGCCGGCCAGCCCAGGCCAGGGCAGAAGAAACGTCTCCCCCATCTACCCTAAGAGCTCGAATCTGGGATTGCGATTGAAAACAGGGAAACCAGATTTAGCGCCGACCCCCGCTCGCGCCCCTACATCTGGAGTCAGAGAAAAGGCCCCCAGCCCCTCCATAAACGACTTGGAAACGGCTGGTTGTTTATAAGCTTGCCTATCCGGTAGTTGAGCGTTGCAGGCGCGTGGAAGGCCTGGGCGGTAGCTAGGGCTGCGCAAACCTTCGTCGTTTTCCTGCCGGGGCTGACTTGAAACCATCCCCTTCTCATCCCTTACTCGTTCTTTCATTCTCTCCTTTTCTCCCCGGAAAGTGTGGGGGGTGGCGTGGAACCAGGTCTCCTTTCTGAATTTCTCTTTCCACTTTTCTCTCCTTCGCCTCTCCTCTGCCCAGAACGAAATCTTGAAAAGCACAGTAAGCAGCAACGACAAGAAAACCAAAGGCCGGACGGGCTGGCCGCAGCACGTCTGGGCCCTGGAGCTCAAGCAGTGAGGAGGAGGAGGAGGAGGAGAGCGCGAGTGAGCCGGGGCCCAGGAGCCGGAAGCAGACCCAGGACTCCGGGCAAGCTCTCCACGCTCCGCTCTGAGGACTTCTTGCATTTGGAATCATCCGGTTTATTTATGTGCAATTTGCCTCCCCTCTCTTTGCCCCCCTTTGAGGCATCCGCTCCCCACCTCCCCCTCCAAACAAACAAACAAAAAAGTGGATATTTGAAGAAAAGCATTCCATATTTTAATATGAAGAGGACACTCCCGCGTGGTAAGGGATCCCGTCGTCTCGTAGATTCTCTGTGTGTGAATGTTCCCTCAAGGCTGTGTAGACACCAGCGTTGCTCCCACCCCACTTACCCAACCCCTTCCAGATAAAGACAGCAGACAATAGTGTGTATGTAAAGTGTATCTTTAATACTTGGCCTTTGGATATAAATATTCCTGGGGATTATAAAGTTTTATTTCAAAGCAGAAAACGGGGCCGCTAACATTTCAGTTGGGGTCGGTATCTAGTGCTGTCTTTTCATCTGTGGTCGTTCCCTATTCGAAGATGTTTCCAACAGCTACTTGTTTTGTGCACTTCCGTCCTCTAAAACTAAGTGGAATTTAATTAATATTGAAGGTGTAAACGTTGTAAGTATTCAATAAACCACTGTGTGTTTTTTTACAAAAACCCCAATCTTTTAATGGTTGATACCTCAGAAGAGTTTTGAAAACAAAACTGTTATACTTGTTTTCATAATATTTAAAATATTCAGAAGTAAACTAAATTATCATGATTGCCTCTAACTTTATTTGAAAGAGTCGGTAGTTCCGATCAGTCATCAACGTGAGCTCCCGCCCTCCCAGGGAAGTGGCCTTGGTGAAAATCCTACTAAAGGACCTGGGCTCCTTGCAAGTCCTGTCTCCTTCCCCCCACCCCCCAGCCCCCAGCCGCCTGGAGAAGGTTGAGTGGTCTGTAGTAGGAGGATCTGGGGCCGAGGGACCTTGGCAGTTCGCTGGAAAGGTAGAAAGTTGTCCTTGTTTTCCTGAAATCAACCAGATGCCATTCTGTGGGGACTTTGGTTTTTGTTTGGGGAGCACCTTTTAGGTGGAGGACGTTTGAGGAAGATCCCAGGCGCTATTGCAGCCGCGGGAAATAGTCTCAGAGTCTTTAATTCAAAATATAAGGTTTTCATCTAGGAAAAGAAAAAAGAGGAAAAGAGGAGGTTTTTGCTTGTAGTCTTCATCAGGGGGATTCTCCTCTGAGCCGGCCAGGGGAGGAGAAGAGCTTGGGGGGGGGGGGGAAGGTGCATGATTAGGTAACAAGGAATTTTACGTCAAGTAAGAAATCGCTAACACAACCAAGGATTTAAAGGGGGGTGAAGGGGGGGTCTGGATTTACAAGGAGCTACAAGGAACTCAATATTAACTGTGCGGTGACTGAAGTCTTCCCGGCCCCAGGCCAGCCGAGCAAGAGGCTCCCTCCCTCGGCTACCAGCCGCGGGGGACTTTACCCGTCTGAGGATTGGTCTCCAGGAGTCCCAGCACATCCCAAAAGGAAGTCCCTGAGGCCTCCTTTGCCCGTAGTCTCGGCTAGAGCCGGAATCTGCTCTAGGAACCAGAGAAACTGAAGTGCCATAAAGGACTCCGCAGGCCAGGGAGGGGAGGGAGGAGGGGAGAGATGAAGTTGGGGGGGGGGCGGAGTGGAGAAAGGTGAAACGTATTAAAAAGCGGTTTGTTTCATGAAACGCCACGTATATAAATCTGGTGTTAGGGAGGTTTGCCAGAGGGTTTCCATCTTGGAACCCATCCTCGGGGTGATGTTCGCACCTCGGCTCCAGGCACAGACCCTCCCCCCCCGATACCCCAGAGGTTCCCACGGCTCGCGGGCGCCCACTTTGAGCCGGCCGCCTGCAGCGGGCAAATTCGCAAGTGCTGGGAGAGAGACGAGCAAGTGGCTCTGTGGGTTCCTTCTGCGGGCAGCTGACAACGCGAGGGCGAGGGGTTAGAACAACTCGGCCAAAGCGATCTGAACTTTCTCCCCTCGGGTCAGGCGGCGCTGGGCCGACGTGGTGGGCGCGGGATGTGTTTACAGACACTTGCCTTTGTTTATAGCAGGGGGTGGGGGGGGCGTAGGGAGGCGCGCCCTGATTTTCTATTACTCTCGGGATTCCTGATGGTTTGACTGAGTGGCTCTCTCCTTTCCCTGTCTCCAGTGGCCTTTTGCATCTTTACTATAATCCGAGAGAGAGAGAGAGAGAGAGAGAGAGAGAGAGAGAGAGAGACTTCAACATCCTAGGGATGGAAGAAAAGAGATTACCAAAACAGTGGAGTGAGTGGTGGCGGAGGTGGTGAGGTTTTTAAAACAGGAACTGGAGAGAAGTTATCTTCAACACGAAGTGTGCCTGCGCTTGCCTTTACCATCTGGGCCTTAATGCACTTTTGCAGGTCTAACACTTTTTCTGGTTTATTAAACACCAGCAGAGGAGATCCAGAAGACCCTGGCAGCGGCATCGCTATGGGGCAGCTTGCTGCTACGCATGCTTTAAAACCCGCGCTGCAGAAATCCGTCCTCTTTGTCTGGCCCGGGCCAGGCGCTGCCCGCCTCCTCTCCTGCCTGCCGGCGCAGTTCCTCTGGCCCAGCAGCACCCGGCCGCAGACACCTCAACCATCTCGACATTGCAACCTGTGGGAAATCCCAACCGGCCAGACGTCCAGCAGACCCAACGCCTCCGGGGGCCGAACCACTGACCGGATGCACACCCTAAGTGTCAAGACACCCCAGATTTTCCATCTCCACGGTCGCCCAGGACATCCCAACCTTTCCAACGCTCCCCGCCACCCAACATCCCTACCCCACGTTGTCAAGTACCGGGACGTGAGTGCTGTGCTGGGCAGGAGTGTCTTCGGAGTTTCCATGTTTTTCTCTTCTATGCATTCATTTCTCTTTTAACTCCCTTTCTTCTTTGCTTAAAGAAAAAAAAAAAGTTTCCAACCTCTTGCCTTGCAGAATCGGCTAAAAGGCCTCTGTTTTAATTGCTCGGATAATGTGGTTGCTGCCATTTTGTTAAAAGCAATCACTCCTGCAGCGAAATCACAAGCTCTCTAGACAGGCCGGAGCCGACAAAAATGCAGGATTTGACGTTAAAAGCTAAATGGGAAGCTGGGGCGGCGGAAGGTAAATTGATGGTAGATCTGGCTGTCAGGGGCCGGCCCCAGACCGCCTCGCAGGCCGAACGCCTGATAACCCTTGAGCCCTGGCGGGGAGAGGGCTCGCCCGCTGTGTGTGTGTGTGTGTGTGTGTGTGTGTGTGTGTGTGTGCGCGCGCGCGGGGGGGGGGGGGCCGGGGGGCGCACGCGCGTGTTCCTACAGAACCCATTCTCAACTTCTTGGGAAGTAACCTGGAAAACTCAACAGAGTGGGACCTGAGCACCCTCCTTGCTCCCAGTCACAATTTTCCAGGACTTTCACCGCCCCCTCCCCCAGCTGGGACACCGACGGCAGCTTTAAGAGCTTTTTTTCAAGTCGAAATTATGAAAATAAGACAGCAACGTCACTAGTGGTTCTTTCTGCCTTCTAAATCCCCGCCCGACTCTCTGGGGGCTCGGTGGGAAGCTCTAGAACCGGAGTGGGTTAGCCCTTAGGTCTGGGCACCTAGGGAGGGTGGGCCTCCTGGCCTAGGCCGCCCCTCTCAGGACCAGGTGGTCTGGTCGTCCCCGCGACGAGGTGGGTGCAGCCCTGTCGCCAGAGAGGGTAGCAAGTGGGCGAGAGTCTGGGTGGAGGGTGGCTCCATCCCTTCCTCCTCATCTATGCCACTACTGGCTGCTGCCTGCTGCTGGCGAGGATCACAGAGCTGGTATCCCACCGGTTGATAAGGAAGCTGGAGGGGGAGTTGTGTGCCGATTTCGCAGGAAGGGGTGCCTAGGGTGAGAGTGAGCTCAAAATCAAAGCCACCGGGAGCGGAAGGAGGCCTGTAAGCTACTTCCGAGACTTCAATTTTGCAGAGAGAACCCCAGCCGCTTGCAAGGGCTTGAGGTGTGCGCGCGGACGACGATGCACTGGCCAAAGGATGCCACAACAGCCAGAACTGCATTTGCGCTACGGGTCTACAAAGCGCGGGAAACCTCTCAGCTATTCCTGTAGCTTTAAAGAAATGCTGTGTCTAACACTGCGCGTGCGGATCGCAATTTTCTCTTCCACAGCCGCCTTTCGTTCTCTCTGCGCGCGAGTCCCACCCACGCGCCTGGATTTGGAAAAAGAACTGGTGGTAGGTGCCAAGCGGAGATGATCTGCAAAGGAGGCTTACGGCTTAGGCCTCGTGGAGGGCCGAATCTGGACCCTTGGCCTTGCTGGTCTTCTCTGGACCTGTTGACCTGAGGAAACCCATTCCTTCCACGCAGCCCAGCACCTACGGTCCATCCCCTTGCGCGAGGAATAGGCACTAACGAGTCTCAGCGACGCACTGGATTCCTGGCCTGTAGCAGCCCGTGGATCCCTCGGAGAGAAAGACCTCAGAGCCGCCCTCAGACCTCGGCTCGAAACTCCAGTATCCCCCTTCCTGAGCAAGCTCAACCTTGGTGTAGGGTTTATGTCTACAGGGTAGCGGGGAGGGGGGTGGGGAGGTGGGAAAAAGAAGCATTTTTTTTTTAACTGTTTAGAAAGGGGAGGAGGGGAGAGGGGGTAACTCCAGGAGAGGAAACGAATCGCACATTTCCGGGGGCTGGACAGCTCGGAGCGCGCAGCTCTACCCGCCAGTTTCTGCCCCACGCGTACTTTCCGCACAGCTACTGTCTGCCGGCTTCTAATTGGCCTCTAACAGCTCCGCGGCTTCGGCCAGTCAGGCTCGTGGAAGTTAAAGTGCACTGTATCTGACTTACACGCGCACAGAAGTTCGACTTCTCTCCCTGTTCTCGCTCCACCCTGCCCAAGTCAGTTTCCTTCGAGGATCCCGTCCCCCGCCTCTCCCCTAAACGTGCCCCCCCCCTACGCACACATTCCCTTCAAATTCTCCCGGCATTTGGGCCGCTTTGATGATCAGATGGTAGAGCCCTGATTACAAATTTATTCCCGGCCGCTCCGTCCGTCTTTATCTCCGCTATTAGGGACATCTGGGAGTGATTAGCGCCGCGCCCGCGCCCGGCCGCGCTGCCTATCTCGCCGCGGCGGGGCCCGGAGCCTCGCTGACGTCAGGGCAGACGGCTCGGAGCCATCCCAGCCGAGCTGGGTGTAATCGGCGGCCGCGCGGCCAAGTCCTCCCTGGGCCAGGCCGGCAGCTGGAACGCGCCGCCTGCTTGCGCACAGGGACTTTCTAAATATGTATTTTTAGCCCAGAAGACGTTTTTGTTTTTCTTGTTGGAGGTAAGGAGGGGCCAGTTACAGTTTCTACTGGCCCCTTCCTCACTTTAAATTTTCCAACTCGCTGCGTCTGGTGCTTTCAGCCTGGAAAAGCCTCCCACAGCGGGCCCTGACCTGCGGGCGCTCCTCTCTCCCTGCCCCAGGGTGTCGCGCTCTCCTACACCAACAGCTGCGGCCAGGGCCGCGGTGCCCGTGCCGGCAAGAGGCAAGAGAGGCGGCTCTTGGGGCTGCCCTTTCCTCACTGGTACCCGCTTAGGCCCCACAGGCCTCAGGCCAAAATAGTAGGAGTTTCTGCCTACTGAGGTGTCCGGACAGACGCTAATCACCAAACAGGCCACATCTCCGAACCTTTGTCTCTGCACCTGCTGTTAAAGGCCAATGGATCCAAAGGACAGAGACGCTAAACCTTCTTCTGTCTACCCTCCCGCTTTCCCCAGTGCGAGTGGTTTGGGCTGAAACAACGACTGGCAGCAGCTTGTCTCCTACTATGTCCCAGTGCCCAGAGCAGAGGCTGGTTTCATTTGTACCATTCCAGAAGGGGAGAGGACCCCCTGGACCTCCGACTTTAGCGTCCTGCGGCACCGCCTGATCTCTAGGATGAATCCAACTCCAGAGCACTTTAGGTTGGAGCTGATCACAGTAGTTACCCAAAATCTCTGAAGAACTTGATAAAATTATAAATTCAGGCCTCATTTTCACCCCACCCCAGAAATTCTGATTCAGCAGGTCAGGTCAGAGAAATGAAGGCTTCAGCTTCTAAAACTCCCCCCCCCCCGCCCCCCCACCTGGTGTTCAGGAACCACTGCCTGAGGCCACACACACCTATGGCAGGCAGCCGATTCCTCAGTCTGGGCTCTCTCTCAACCACCGCTGTGAAACACTGGACCCTAGGGAAGAGGATGGCTTTATCAAGGATGGGGGAGGGGAGGTCAAGGCCTGCATGATTCAGAGTCTCCACAGGGAGAGAACTGGCCACATCATGGATCAGTCCTACATCTCGATTTAATCGGGCAATGCAAGGACTCAAAGCAAACCCAGAAGATGTTATTTATTTACACACAGGTTGCAAAGCCCAAGCCAGTGCTTACAGTGAATTTAGCTAGAGGGAAAATAATTCATAGCCCATGATCTGAAGGTAGTGACAAGAAGATCTGTTGGGGGGGGGGGGGGGAGAGATATCAACAATAAACAGGGAATCTGGTAGAGAAACTTTCCCAAACATTCACCCCTCTTCAATTCTTTGAGGCAACTCAGTACACTAAATTCCAAAGTGTCTTCGTGTAATCTACAACGGATGAGGACCATTTCCTCCTAAGTCAGTGAAAATGTCACATTTGAGAGAGTTTGGCTCCCCCTTCTACCCACCCTTATCCCTGGCAGAAGGGGAAGAAAACATTGAGCTGGGCAGTGAGTGGGAGAGTTTGGGGGCTAGGAATGGAGAAAAGGACTTTAAGACAACTGAATCGGTAATGACTGGAGGAGGAGGGGCCTAACTGCTTTTAGGGGGGAGGGGCAGATAATAGCTGCATACTGCAGTTTGCCACGGGTGCTGGTAAGTGGCTTCTCCAAGATCTTCCTTAATGATGGAGTACTCAGACAAGCGGGCAGTTTTCCGAATCATACAGACCATTAAAAAACAAAACTAACAACAAACACCCGCATTACTTTTGCCTATAATACCTTTTTATTAATACTTTCTTGCACACAACTCATCATGAACAACCAAGCCCAGCCTGATGCATCCCTGTGACCAGATGGAGTGTTTCAAAACATCATTCCTTATTGTAGAACGAAATCATCATGGCAAACAAGAACTAGACTCAGGGAGACCTGCAGATTTTTCTGTAAGAAGTGGGGTCATTCGCTGTTCACTTGTTTGCTGCTCCAACAGCTGACAGGATTTGAAACAAACAGGTTTTTTATTTACTCGGGGGCAGAGTTTTCAACTTTTATTGTAAGTCACCTATGGAAGAGCCCCCCCCCCCAAAAAAATCATTCTAAACCAAAGTGGTGGTTAATAGCTCCTTCCTGAAAAGATGGAAGCCCATGGCCACTGAGGCCAGTGCCTGGTTGGCTTCTACCCAAAGTGGGTTGTGGTTGCCTTGAGCTGACCTGTTTGCCTTTAGGATAAGGCAGAAATGCAGGAACAGAAAAATGCGTGTTTGTTGCTTTTATTTTTAAAGACGAACATGCATCCCAAGTCTGTAACTAGAATTTGGCGGAGAAGAAAGCTGGTGCGGTTTTAAGGGGAGAAAGTGGCCGCCGGGCCGCCTGACCATCGCCTTTGCTTTGCAAATCTGGTTTTCATATTCTCGCTCAGTAATTACCCAAAGCCATAACTGTCTCTGAAATTATTCATTAAAGTCATTTTCAGGGATTCTCACAGGATGACTCTTTTACGTTTAAGATCTTCTGAGAGCAATGACATCAGCCTCTGTCTCCTTTCCGCTTTTAATTGATGTGCTAGTTAGAGGAGAGGGGCCGTTGCTGTGTCCGTGGGGAGGGGGGCCGGCCGGGGTGGGGGGGGGGCGGATTTGCTGGCCGTTCTGCTCCCGGCGCGGTCAGCTGAGCTCCGGCGCGCAGACATCCTTTGATTAAGGAGGGTATTTCGGGGAGTGCAGGCTGTGCAGAAGATCACGTCTGTGCCCTGTGGTGCTGTCAGCAGTGACAGATCCCAGATGGGGCCGCTACTGTATGGCAGATTGAGTTTCTCAGCAGAAAACTCACCCTCCCTCCTAAACGTCTTCAAAAACCTTCTCCAGATACTACAGGTCGCTTCGTGTGAAACTGAAAAAGTCCATCAGCAAAGTCAGTTTTGCGTGCTTGTGTATGTCAGCCCCCCACCCCCACCCCTTTTCCTTCCTCTTCTGTTTTCTCTGCACTTCCTCCTCCTCCGAGCATCTTCGACACGCTAGGCTACCCGGCTGCTAGGAGCGCAGATCTGGTGGGCCTGGTGGTTCCTGTTCGCACGACCCACGGCGCCGCGCGGTCGACACAGCACCGAGGGGCCCCGAAGGCAATCCGGTGGGTAGAGGCACGGCGTCTGGGACGTGGGGGCAACGTGGAGCACTCCAGGCAGCTGGGGTGCGCCGCAAGGCCGAACACTCCCTGTGGGGAAGGGATGGGGGAGAGGATTGACTCTAAGGCGGAAGCAGAGAGTACCAGCTCTTGGCTCCTGCCTCCCCGTCCTTGTTTTCCACAGCGGAGCGCCGTCCCGCCAGCCTGGGCAATTTCGAGGGGCAGCATCGAGCGTAAGAACGGGGGGGGGGGGGGGGGG